CCTTCACAAACTTTTGCTTTTTGGTTGATTGCCACAGTTACATGACTGGTAATGAAATGGTAAAGTTGACTGGTAAAGTTCTCTCAACCCAAACCTACGGAAAAGGATTAGGGCCTTTTGACTTTTGAGAACAAAGTCTGAATGCTTTTTCTTTTCTTTTTATCTTTTTAATGGTCCTAATCCTCTTCCATAGACTTCTGATTAGTTCAGTAAACTTACAAAAAAAGTTTGTAATCTGTCTTAATCTTTTGAGTAATATAAAAGTATCAGTTTCAGAATCGGTTTCAGTGACAAAAAACAAACAAAAAATTATTATTATTAAGTTTAGCCACCTAAAAAATACCAGTTGGTTGACTATTTGTTGTTGCCTTGATTTTCTTTATGAAAATCAATGAAAAATTTTTAACAGTGTAGAAATTCTCCAGCTCAGATTTGTTCAGTTTAAGGTCGGACTGGGATCTGAGCATCGACCCCACGGGCCTCTTTCTCTGACCTGTTACGACTCAGCTGTGTTAGGAGTCAGAGTGGGTAACATTAAACAGTGTTATGTTGGAATGATTGGAATTATCCAGGTTTAGTACAACCAGAAAAATGGCAGTGCTGACTTGTTGCTGAGATGAAGCCATGCATCTGAATCACATAAATAAGTCATTGCTGTGAGTTATTGTTGCGATTATTAAGCCGTGACCATGATTTATGGAATCTGGTTTGCTGTGGTGAGAGCAAGCTCTGAACTATAGAGCTATTAGCATGAAAAATAAAAAATGTGACGTTTTTCATGCAGAGAATGGATTATGATCCTATTTTGAAATCCTTACTGTGCATTTTCCCATAACAACAACCAATAAGTTTAAACAGCCTAGTTACATATAAAAGCATAGTAAACGTGCACCTGTGTTCCATGTTTTACTTTGTTTTTAATTATTATTAGTTAGCACATTATTTCAACAGGAAGGAAATACACTGACTGTAGCTAAGTTTTTTTGTCCCAAATTCTAATAATTTAGACAATTTAGCAGTTTGGCATGCTTAAAATGCCAAAAATATCACATTTAAATATTACTTTGTAAGATAAAAAGGAGCTTCTTTACTTGCGCGGGTGGGGGGGGGGGGGGGTAGCTGTTCTTTAGGATTAAATAAAAATGCCACTTTTTAAAAATCCTATAGAATGCGATCATGCTGGAATAATTAGATAAATAACATGTAAGATGTATGTGATGATGATAGGAAATGGGCAGCAAAATGCTCAGAGGCAACAACAGCATCATTTTTAGGTTGCTAAAAAAACAAAACTAAAATAAGAAACAACGTAATGTGGCACAACAGTGAAAAAACAAATAAAAAGTAACAAAACCCTGGAGGATGCTCATAGGGAGGGCACTCTGATTATTGATGGTGAAGCTTGTGTAAGTCAAACAGATCAGTGCTACAACATGCAAAACCCTCCCACAGGTTTATCGTGTGTAAATAATTGTTTAGCGATTAATAATTAGGTAAAATCTTTGAATTCCAGCATAAAATATGAAGCTCAGATGGAAGCTATTAAATCAATACAAAGTGGATCCACTTTGGAGAAAGAGTTTTGGTCTAACTTGATTTATGAGCCAACCCTTTTGGTTAACTGCAACCTTTAAAAAACTCCCCTTTTGAAAATACTACACCATAGTTGATTCAAACATTATATATTTATAGATCATAACACCAAATTTTCTTTAATAATACACAGTTAACCTGGAAGAAACATTATGTTATTCCACCTGGAAAGGCTGGATTAACAAACTAGCATCTGGTCTCATTGGGGTCATAAAATGGATTAGAATAACTCCAGTCTCCCATCTCAAACATATATTGGTTTAAACCTTGACACTACTGTTTCACAGTAATTACCGCACAGATATTATGACATATCTGTTGGAAATGCCCCAGGCTGAATGGAAACAGTTGATGCTGTTTATTTTCAGCAAAAAACTAAATAATTCTCAATAAATGTGTAACTGTGAAAATTACAAATGTTCAATTAGACTGCAATTATTAAAAAAGCAAACAACACATCATCACCACTTTTCTTGGAAGCACATTAATGAGTTATGGTGGACACTGGTTACATGTCACCAAGGGGTTTCTGTGCTTGGTGATAAAGAGCTCTTAAGTGATCAGATGTTACACTTTCTGCTTCTTGTGTGGAGCTGTGTTTATGAACCATTCAGGTTGCAGAGGTAGCAGCCCCAGCGAAGAAGATGCCCTCTCCCCAGCTCCACCTGCAGCCCCCCCCCCACCCCCTTCCCCCCCCACCCCCACCCCGGCCAGCCTGTAGATATAATCCCTCCAGCATGCTCCAGGTGGCCTGAGGGCCTGCTACCAGCAGGACATGCTTGAAACACAGGGGCAGGGTTAGAGGGTGGCTACTTGGGCTCGAGCCCCAGATCTTTTTCAAATTTAAACCCACCCCTGCTGAAACTCCTCTGCAGGGTGGCGTTCAGCGCTCAGGCATTCAGACCAGATTCACCCAAAAAACTTTTATAAAATTGGATTTTTTCAACACCTGTTAATTGTAATGGTTAATACGTTTCTAAAATTTACTCACATTTTGATTTGTTAATATTTTATTTGATCAAGAGCTAACTATGAAATAATATTATTTTATCATATTTATCCATGGTTGCTCGGACACGGGTGGCTAATTTACAGAATGTTAGATGTGTGTGTGTGTGTGACAGAGAGAGAGAGAGAGAGAGAGAGAGAGAGAGAGAGAGAGAGAGCTATGACAAGTGTAGCAACACCAAAAAGAAACCAGCAGGGAAAAAGGAAATTTGAGTCGAAAGAATGAGGAAAAAGAGGAAGAAGAAAATTGTGACGGAGGGTGAGACAAAAGGAGCCAGGTACAGAATAAAATAACAGGGGGATAAAGAGGAGGAGGGGGGGGGGGGGGGGGGAGAAACAAAATCAAGGACAACGAGGAACTCTCACACTGTCACATTTAATTTTCAGTTTCAAAGGCTGCATTTTCCCAACTGATTTTCATGTTGAATACAAAACAGCTCTCTGTTTCCCGACTAACAAGAGGGAGGCAGATGAAGAGGAGGAGAAGAGAGCTGATAACAAGACGCATGGGATGAGCTGTGAGACTGTGACCAGATATGGTTTACACAAGACCTCACCTTAATGTGACCAGAGGGTGTCTCATGGATTGAATATATTCACTTGATATAGTTTTGATACCATTTTTACAAATCAGAGAAAAAAGTTTCTTATCAGTAAACAAAAATAAAAAGCAACAGAGGGCAGAGGTTGGAGTGTGTTTACACACTCCTGCCCAGCAAACTTATTTTGCAATTCAAAGAATGTGAGAGCACTTTTTTTTAACCTGAAGACCCGTTCACGCCCATTAGTCTAACAAGAGAAACCCGATCAGCACACTTCCTCTACACTGGTAGCTATCAGAAGAGACCCTTGCTAATTGCTTCCACTCCAGTCTAACTAATTGGAGTGAATAAAGATGATTAAAGGGGCTAAAAATAGCCAGAGGGAAGAGAGAATGTAAGGTTTCTGCTCCAATGACAGGGAAATTACAAAGAGAGCAATACTCAGCCCACCTATTCTGACAAGATTCACATCGGTTCACTTTAATGATGGATTAACTGCTTATTCACTCACACGTTCTCATTAATAGAGATGCACAGCCCCAAATTACTGCCAGTGGATCAAACTCACATAAATGGACAGATTGGTTCTGTTTTATCTACAGAAATGAAAGTTATTTCAATCTTAGAGCATTGTTTTTATATAATAATTTATATATTATATTATATTATTACACCTAGGTCAAAGTGCAAACACACCTTGATGTAAGGTTTGGTATGGGGTGTCTATTTTTACTTCATCTGAACTGTAAACATTGTCCTACAATCCAGGTGTTTATTTTATAAACTCCAGAAAAGCTTTCCTTTCTTTGGCTGAAAAAGTTAGAAAAACAGAATAGAGTTTTTTGTTTGTTTGTTCAATAAAATTGTGCATAGTAGAGCATATTTTAGTCCATAGATGTTATTGAAATATGTTGAAATGATCAGAAAAGTTCATATAAAAGCAAAACACATAGAAAAATGTATGCTTGAATTCTATGTTAAACTTAAGTATTCTTATTTTATTGATAATTTAGGTCTAAATGGTAATTTAGTTAAAAAAATACAAACAATACATTTTCTTTCAGAATTTAGTTCTTGTTAATGTATAGATTTGTCATTTCCCTCTGATTCTATTCTGTTTTTCAAAATAAAAGTGATGCAGCGTGCGTCATTCAGTTGTGACTGACACGTTTTTTGTATTCTTCAGATCAAACATCTGTGCTGAACCTCCACAAGAATAAATCTATGTTCCGTTAAACCTTCTGAGAACACAGAAAAAAGTATTTATGGCTTGTAAAAGTATGGACTGTCATTTCTACAAAATCTAAAGTTCTAGTAATTCTGACGCCGGTCACTCTTTCACCTTGCCTTTTTTCTGATTCTTAAATCTGAAATAAATGTTTGTATTTCATTTGGTTCAAATTCATTTGTGCATTTTATTTGTGCTGTCGCATAAAGTTCATCTGCGAGAGTTCACTACTCTCGCTAATGTTTAGCACATTGAATAGCCTCTGTCTGAAATGTACTCTACAAATGAAGCTGACTACGAGAACAAAAATATCCTAATGGCAGAAACATATCAACTAGTGAATGTGAATGTTTTCTTTACCTTTTTATCATCACTATAAATTTTATTGTTAAATAATAAATGTGTTTTTTCACCAGTGGTAAGGTCCTTAAGAACTTTGCGTTAAACATTTCTTAGAAAATTCTGTCATTTTTTTCCTCTAAAAACCTACATTAAGCTAATATACTGCTGGACAGATCCCAACATCCACTTTAAAACCACACAAACACACACACACACACACACACACACACACACACACACAAACACACACACACACACACACACACACACACACGAGCGTTCCTTACTCCTGACAACAAGATTGACGTTCTTGCGAGCTGGGTTGCCAACATTGTTGACAGCTGAGCAGTTGTAGAAACCAGCATCTCCGGGTGTGACAGCACGCAAAATCAATGTCATCCCCTTAACTTGGGCGCTGAGAGGAAGAGGTCCGGGGTAACGCGACCATGTCACATTGGGCGAGGGATAACCTGCAGTCACCTCACAGGTTATAACCACATCCTGGCCAGGATCAACCACCACAGTGTCGTTGACTGACAGCCGGATCATCGGAGGAGCTGTAGAGAGGAGACACAGGAGCACACTTGTACTCTCCATTTACACAGAACAAAACTGCATTTTTTAACAGATTTAAAGCTTAAAGCATTGTGAAATGTTCAAGTACTGTAACATCCAAAGCACTGTAATTGATCTAGAACAATAATAATATAATCAAAGTGATTAAAAATGCAGGTGGAAAAGAGATAAAGGGGCAAAAGCTGTTTCAAAATAAAACTAAAAGAGGATTAAAAAATGATCAACAAAAGCTAAAAAAACAACAACCAAAAAACCTGCCTGTAAGATGCTGAAGGGATTTTCAGCACAGTTAAAAATGTGTAATGTTTAGTTAAACATACATTTGAGAACAGCTCCACTTCATCTAGATCCCAATTCCAAGATCTTGTAATGGGTTTTTGCATATCTTGCCTCGGGGTGTAAATGGGGTGACAGAAGCATAATGCTGAAAGAAATGAGCCTGTGACCAGAAAGCCACCTGCTTAAATCCCCGAGTGCCTGCCACAGTCTCTTTCTTTTCTTGTTTTAAGTTGTAGAATAAAAAAGGTTCACACACACACACACACACACACACACACACACACACACACACACACACACACACACACACACACACACACACACACACACACACACACACACACACACACCTTTAACCACCCCACCCGTTTCAACTACCATGAGGCACGGCAGTCGTAATGTTCTGAAGGAACTACACAGGCTTTATGTTACTAATCTGCTGTTTTCCTGTACATCTCTCAGGTGGATCTTCATTGTGAGCTCTTTGACAAAACACCTCAACACGCTGAAACCAAAACATCCCAGTAAAGAAACAGCAAACTCACAGTACTCAGTTAACTCTCATGATTTAGTCACCCAACAAACTGCATGTCACGTTCTTTCCTGTCATGGAGGCTTTAAAAATAAACCGGCTGGTGTGCAAGGACAAGGACACCGCCACATGTTCTTAAGCTTTTGCTAAATCCAAAAGTTTTCTTTTTAGAGAGCTACAATCAAATTTGCTAAATAACTGTATAAGTAAAATATGGAAACCTCATTTAATCAATACGTTTGCAGTGGTCTCTAGCAGGATACTGGGGAGGGAAAAAAAAAACACAATTTCCAGGAACTAAAAGTGAGCCACATCACAGGTGAGCTCCAGACGGCAGGTTTCGGAGTTATATCTCCTGTTTTTTTTAAACATCTCGCCTCAGATTAGAAAACAGCAACATGACTAACACTGACTTGTTACGTGGATGTTTTATCTCCACAAAAAACACAAACCTGTAGGAGTTCTGCTGTGTGGTGTGATCGCTAATGCTAACAGTTAGCTTCTGCTAGCTGAGACATTATCTGTTGATTGCTTGACGTTAAACCAACAACAGCCTCCCCCGTCATCAAGTCAAGATGGGTGAGTCCATGAATGTTAAGTGACAGTGTGACACAGACCTGTCAGGATTATCATATCCTAAAGTTTCACCATTTATTTTCTGTCAGAAGCTAATGCAGGAGATAGGTGTAGGAGACATTTTTCAGTGTTCCACACCTAACTGTCATAACTGACAACTGGAAGTCTGCAACACACACATATCAACAATAAAACTTCACTTCCCAATTCACCCTCCTTCCTTCGGTCGGATGATTAGGCAGCCTCAAGTCATGTGCACTTTGTTACCAAAATGAGATTTTAGGTACACATTGATTGATGACAGCCCATAATAATGATTTCGGCATAATTATATAGCTAATGTCCAAAGCAGAAATCAACTCATGCATGCAGCATGAGAAGACAATATTCAATGAAATGCTAAACGAACTGAGCACAGGAACTGTTCGTTTCTTCAACAGAGTTTAAACAATACTCCCTCTCATCTAATCTCCTTCTCAAACAGCAACTATGATAATGAAAGAGATGCACAGGAGCTCAACAACCATGAATATTTCAACCAGTATGACAGTGTGCACAAAACCGTGGACTCCCGCAGACATGATGGCAGCCTTTAAAGGGTGACTATGCAAAAACACAGAGGCACTAATGGGATCTCTTTAGCTAACTCTGGCAGTGATGGCTCCAGATCTGACAAGAAATTCCACTGGTGTAGCAGCTGCAATGAGCGCATAAATAGCTCTGTCTACTCCTATTGTATCAAGTCACAACACCAGGAAAGCAAACCTCTTCAGGACTTCAGAGTTTGCAGCTCACAAGTAAAAATGTTTTGCTTGAGTCATTCTGCATTTGCAAATTATAATTGCAGTTTACTGAAGTGTTGAGACAAGTGATCAAGGCTGTAAAGTAAAAATGTGTGAATAGTTTGTGCACCTGTATTGAATGATGTCTTTTTTTGTTCTGACTACTAAATATTTACAATAACGATTATCCAGGACTAGCTCTATAGTGTTGCAATCTGTTTGGTTTAATCAGGGCCAGCCCAAGGCTTTTTGGGGCCCTAGGCAGGTTTTTCTTTGGGGCCCCCATAACAACAACTTAACACCAAACGTTTTATCATTCCCAGCCTTCACTATGTGTGTGACATATCCACCATCATTAGCATGTTTTGAAATAAGCCTACCATGTATTGGTGTGATTATGGTTATTACTTTTTACCTTAAAGGGGTAGCAAACTCATTTGTTTATTTATTTATTCGGGACAATGCACATTAATAAACGATCAAGTGCTTATGTACAGACTGTAAATGAGCCAGATTATAGCATAGTTGCTCATTTCCATCTGTAGTCCCTAGATGGGGAAACTAACATTGAACATACTGACAATGTACAATTCTAAAACAATAATCGGATTACAGACATGCAAACACATGACATTCCAACAATAACAATTAGTAAAGGTGCGTGCATGACTGGGAACTTTTAAGGTACTGTTTAAGGTGCGTTTTGAAAATACTAAAGGTGGGACATTCTCTAATACACCTTGGTACATTGTTCCAAAAGTGACTCCATCTGACAGACAGAACTGTTTGTCCAAAGGTTGTTTTTCTGTAGGGAATCTCCAGTTCTCCTCTAGAGGAGCCTCTGGTGCAGAAACCTTTGTCAGTTCTTAGTTTGGTGTGTGTAGCAGCCAAGTGGAGGTGGGGCTAGTCAATGCACAACTTTGTAGATTAAGCCGCTATTTTTTAAAGTAATACTTTTAAAACCTTGAGCACATTGTATTTTTCCAGAATAGTACATTGGTGAAATAACAAAGGTTTTTGATCAAGAAATTTTACAGACTTTTTTTCAATAGCATTTCTATTGGTTTTGACAGTGTGTGACCAGAAAGTGACCAGATTGTGATGCAATAATCTATATAAAATATCATAGAGTGTAGGAACATTTTAGCTGAGTTAATTGTCATTGATGGTCTAATTAGTTTGAAGTTGTGTTCATTGAACTAACCCCCAAATTCCACTACCTCCGCTCCGCTCCGGTCCGGTCCGCCCCCGCCTTCCGCAGCCGCTCGCTTCCGAACTCAATTTTTACTGGTACCCGCTCTACAACGGCTCCGCTCCGGTGCGGAGACCTGAGGTGTGCAAACAAGCATGCGCGGGATTTTCGAGATCTTGCGATACAGTCCGAGCAATAAACGCGGAAGTTAGATCCAAACACCCGTTGTGTGGGAGAAGCATCGAAACGAACTGTTTAATCTGCCCATCATTTGTGTAGAGAGATCAGCAGTGTTTGGATCAACAAAGTGTGACTACTTTGATAGTGGAAACTGTATTTATGGCTTACTTTTGTGCATTTAAAGTTCAGCCGCCATTGATAGTTGTTAAAGGTTGTTAAACCTGTGCATATGAAACAAAAAACGCCTTTTGTTTATCGATTTATTGTGAAAAACGGAAGATGTGCTTGCTCCTTTTCCTGTTGGGCGGTTGTGATTCTTGTCCATTGACTGCGGAGGTGCTCCGGCGTCCGGCAAAAATAGAATCAATCCTATTTTTGCCGGACGCCGGAACAGAGGGCGGCGCACGGCGCCGCACTGCCGGAGCACGGCCGCAGTAGTGGAATTGCTCTGATTGACTAGAACGGGACCGATTTTGCTCCGGCGTTCGTGTCGGAGCTGAGCGGAGCGGAGGTAGTGGAATTTGGGGGTAACACAAAGGCTCTGCATGTAAGTCCTTTGCATTTTGAAATGCAGATTGTAATCCAAGTGGTATGTATTCATTCAACTATTTGAAGGTAACATGAGATGATAACATTGAATTTACAGTAAATAAGTTAAATTTACTATCATTTGTTGTTAAAATTTGAACCAGGTGTGCAAAACATGCAAGATGTGCAATCACTACAGCATAAAATTAAATGACGCTATGGAAAATAATATAGATACATTTTTCCATGTCCAATAGCATTTAGTTTGTATTATGTAGTCACTTAAAAATTATCTTGTGCTATTTTGATGCTCTTGGGGGCCCCCTGCTGGTGTGGAGGCCCTAAGAAGCTACTTAACTCGGGTATGCCCTGGGCAGGCTCTGAGTATATATTTGTATCTGTGCAGGGTATTAATAACCCAGGACACAGACAGGATACTATATTAGTAAGTGTTAATGATAAATCTCCAGATTCAGATGCATAAAAGGTTATGAGGTCAAAAATGAATCAACTCCGTGAGATGTTTTGGAGAAAGTTGAAGGAGACAGAAAAACCTGGGTGTCTTTATCGCTCCTGCAGCAACTCCAACCATAAAAATGTCTGATGAGTTTGGAAAATGGAAGCAGTTTATATCTCACTGCATGAATGACTTTGTGCATTTAACTTCACATTATTTTTTGCAAACTATTAAAAGGCTCCACTAAGCAAATGAAATAAGTTACACAGACATAAACCCTGCAAAGGACACTGCAGAGCGAATTTTAAATAAAAACAAGACACTAAGAGGAGGAGAAAGGGAAGATTTGAGAATTACAGATCGTATTTCATAGAGATGTGTGGGAGACGTGGGATCAGCCAGTGCTGCTTTCAAAGTAATGGGATTTATGTGCAGCACAGCAGTTTACAACCAGG